ATATTTAATAAAGTGGATTTAGTAAATTCAGAAGAGGAATTTTATTCTTATCAAACTCTCCGACCACAATATTTTTTAGCCATTTCGGCTTGAAAAGAAACTAATTTTGACAAGTTAACAAAGCAAATAACTTCTCTTTTGCCTCACTCCTTTTCCGAAAATATCGAGCAAAAAGAGAAAAAATTAAAGTTGCTCATTTTTGGGCCGCCTAATTCGGGCAAATCCACCCTCATGAATTATTTGTTAAAAGAAAATCGTTCCCTGGCTACCCCAATTGCCGGTACCACCCAAGAACCAGTAATTAGTAATTGAAATTTAAAAGGAAATTTACAAAACCTCTTTCAGCAAGCAAAAGGAACCTTTGGAGAAGCAAAAAAAATTGACTTTGAATTAGTTGACACTGCCGGCATTACCAAAGAGCAAAAATTAAAAGTAAATTTATGAAAAAATGGTGACTTAGCCTGAGCGGTAATTGACGCCGCTTTACCTTTAACCAAACAAATCCTACAAATAGTTAATTTAGGGGAAAAACATAGCAAACCGCTAATTATAATTATTAATAAATGAGATTTATTAGAAAAGAGAAAAGAATTGAAGGAAGAATTAAAAAGACGTCTAAAATCATTAAGTTATGCACCGGTAATTTATACCTCGGCCTTAAAAGGAACCGGAATAAAATCATTACTAAAAATCTTAGAAAAAATGTTGGAACAATCCCAAAAAAAACTTTCTAAAAAACAACTAGCCGAAGTGGTAGAAAAAATGTTAATTAATAACCAACCTAAATATTTTAAAGGCAATAAATTGAAAATCTATTTTGCTAAACAAGAACCAGGTTTAATTCAGACTTTCATTTTTTTTGTCAATAATCCGCAGTGGACTCATTTCTCTTACCAAAGGTATATGACTAATTACTTACGGAAAATTCTCGGCTTAGAGTATCTACCTATTAAAATAATTTTGAAAAAGAGTGAATAACGAATGAACTAAATCATGACTAAAAACACTCCAATTATAACCTTTTTTAAAATCTTACTATTACGCTACTCAAATAAAATGTTAATTTTTAACTTAATTTTACAAGAATGATTTTATCTTTTATTTAACTGCAAAATATTTTTTTAAATAAGCATCTTTATCGGCTTCAGTTGCTGACTCATGCATTATATTAAGACTATCAGCCCGAAATTCTTTACACTCTTGACAAATCTTTTTAGATTTGGTTCATTTTATTCATTTTGAGACTCCTTCTACAACTGAAGTTCTTTCAACAGACATCTTATTTAATCTTTTTTCTCTTTCTTGACAACAAATCTTTTTGCTTTCGTTCATTTTTAGTATTTGTATTATTAGTTACTTTTTTCTTATCAGTGTCTAATAACTTATTTTTAGCATTTTTTCTATCGAAGTAAGTAGCACAGTGTCAAAAATATTTCGAGAGGTCTTGTTTATTCAATAGTTCTACAACTTTCTCAATTGCCCGTTTCATCTCTTCATAATTCCTCGGTCTCTGCTTTTCTGTCTGTTGCCTTAGCAGATTAAAAACTAACTCCGTAGGATTGAGCATCGGAGCATAAACAGTAATAAATCTCACCTCAATATTCTTTTTAAGCATCTGCCCCTCAGTGCTTGGCAGTTTTGCCTCTTCCCTCTTTTTTGGAGCATGATGAATCCGAGCATTATCCATTAGCAAAATATTCTTTTTATTTCCAATTGGATTAATCTCTTCCAGGAAATCATAAAACACTCTCCAATTAACCCTCTTATCCGTTAACCTTCAATTAACAACTCCATTTTTCCCTAAATTACTAATAGCAAATAAAAGAGTATAATGCTTTCCCTTACTACTTGGTCTTTTAGAAACTGCTCTTTTGCTTGTTACAGAATAACCAAATCTTGGATCTAATTTGAGGTAAAAACTGCATTCATCTAAGGCAAGAAAAGCGAATTTATCTAATAAAGTTTTGATTTCCTCATTGAATGCCTTGGCTTTTTCCTCATCTAACTGGATGTAATGATAAGTTAACTTTTTACGAGTTATACCTAATTTCTTTAATAATCGAGAAATTTTTTGCTGGGTTATTGATTGACCCGTCTCCTTACCAATATAATCTGCCATCTCTTTTTGAGTGGTTGTATTATTCTTAGAAATGTAGGATTTTAGAAGGTTAGGAATGCTACCATAACTCTTGGGTTTGCGTTTTCTCTTGCGGAAAGGGAACTTTTGTTTCTTCCAGCGAATTATGGTTTGCTGAGTTACTTCGAAAATATCAGCCATTTCCTTTTGGGTTATGCCTTTTTGTTTTAATTGAACTATTTGATTAATGTTGATTTTTACTTTCACCATATTTAATATTTTATAGAGTTATGTATAGGTATGTTTTAAAAAAGCAAAGAAAAATCACCTTTCTTCGTGATGTACACGTGCTCTCGCAAGCCTCAACATATCTATAATAAGAATAATATTGTATTCCTTACAATATTTTACTTATATTGGAATATAGATTGTGTAGGGTAAAATTTTTTTTGCTAAAATAGTATTATATATGGATATGAAAAACGACAAAAGAAATAATTCATCAGACTCTCCAATTAATAATCCTAAGAAAGTTCAGTGTTTCAGTTGCAAAGAACTATTTACACTTAAGTTTGTTATTCCTAGGTGGGAATATAGTCAAAAAAATAACTGGGATTACTGGACAGGAGAGGAAAAGCATAGAGGCAAATATAAGTGTAATTCTTGCTTGTTAGATTTGTATTATAATCACAAAAAAGATTATTGGAGTTTAGTAACCAATCCTCAACGGAGGCAAAAAATGCGGGTTTATGTTTATGATGGAACTATCTCGGCCTAAACAACAATTATGACAATTGACAAAAACACTCTCAAACAATGAATGAAAGAAAACTGCTATGAGGAAATAACTTTTGATCCTAAATACAAACGACTAAAAGTTATTATTTATAATCAGTATCTAAATCCAGGTGGATTTGTTACTACTAACTTTCCCAAAGACATAAATGTTAAAGATTGATGAGAAAATGCTCCACCTGAAGAAAAGTTTATCGTTGATTTATACCAATGAGGCCAAAAGGAAAGAATCAAAAAAGTTAAGGCTGAATATCAAATGAGTGGTGAAGGAGAGTATTTAGGAATTAGAGAGGTGAATATTGAAAATACTCCTGATTGACAATGCTGATTTTGTAATCATTATCTCCAAAAAGGTAGTTCCCACTGCACTAACAAACAATGTGAGAATTATTTAAAAGATGATAATAATAACTCTCAGAGAGAGAGAGAGAGAGAGAGAGAGAGAGAGAGAGAGAGAGAGCAGAATCGGGGTTCCAACTGTTCCAAATGCCTTAAATGGGCTGATTCTTTAGGTAAGTGCGACACTATTTCTTGTGAAAACTATTGAAAGAAAAAAGATAACAATTCTCCAAGCAACTTTAAAAGAACTTGTAAACAGTGCGGTAGGAATGATTATTTAGTTGACAATGAATTTTGTATCTCAAATTGTATTTGGACTAATTTTCGTTTAAATGTTCAGCAAAAGATTAAGGAGGAAGGCTTAAAAGCAACGCAAGTTTACTGAAAGCAAAAGAAAGTTAAGTTAGAAAGGTTGTTTAGTAATGTTTTATCTAATATTGAAAGAGTTGATCCAGATACGGCTAAAGTAATTAAGAAGAAAAAAGATGAAATGATGGAAACTATCGAAACTGATTTATACTCCGATCGGAATAAGAAGGGTGGATTAAGCGGAGGATTAATTACTTTAATAGTAATTGGAGTGGTAGCAATAATAGGATTAGTCTCTTTCTTTCTGCTTAGAAAAGGTAAAAAAAGGGGTTAGATAATCATGTTGTGTAATTGATGTCATAAAGTAATTCCAGCAGGGGAAGAACTAAAAGAGCAAGACAAAGGGTATTCTTACTTTTCTCTCTACGAAGGGACTGGAGGAGGTGAAGGCAGTTTTGTAGGAGGTGGTTATTATCATCGCCTATGCTACTGACATAAATTACTTTGAAATTTAAAGAGAGAAAGAGAAGGAATATGAAAAGGTTGGTTTTGGTTTTTAATTCCCCTTTTACCCATTTTTATAATCATTGTTATAATGAAAATTATCCAAGCGAAAAAATTAGACAAAGCAATTGGAGAGATAGAGGACATTATTTCCAAAGAAGAAAGTAATTAATTTAGAAAAACAGAAAATACTAAAATCTATTTATAAGAAATTAACATTTAATTTGAGTAGTGTAATATATATAACCTCTTTTACATGAATAAAAAAAACGAAGTGCCAGAAAAAAGGATGAGAGAGTTGATTACTCTGATTAAAAAGTGAAATTATGAATATTATATTCTTAGTCAGCCCAGCATCGAGGATGCGGTGTATGATAAGCACTTAAAGGAATTGCGAGAGTTAGAAATCCAATATAATCTTGTTCTCCCTGACTCACCTACCCAAAAGGCAGGTCATCCGGTCAGTCCCAAGTTCCGCTCCGTTGTTCGCCAAATCCCCATGTTGAGTTTGGATAGTGTTGATAATTATGAGAGTTTGTTAAAGTTTGATGAAAGGGTAAAAAAAATATTGAAAACAGAGGAAGCAATAGAATACGCCTGTGAGTGAAAAATTGATGGTTTATCAGTGAGTTTAATTTATCGTGATCATCAATTAGTCCAAGTCAGTACTCGCGGCAATGGAGTTATTGGGGAAGATATAACCTTCAATAAGGAATTAATAAAAAACATTCCTTTTGCTTTGAAGGAGGTTGCTAATTGTGAGGTGCGGGGGGAAGTTTACATGAAAAAGGAGGAATTCTATCGTTTAAATGAGGAATTAAAAAAATCTGGTAATAAATTACTGGCTAATCCGCGTAATGCTGCCTCGGGAAGTTTACGAACTCTCATTCCTTTACAAGGCAGGAATTTACATTTTTTTGCTTATCAATTATTCAATAATGATTTACCAACTCAATTGACTTGTCTGCAAGAATTAGAAAAGTTAGGCTTTTCAGTTAGTCCTGATTATCAGTTATTCATGAGTATTGAAAAAGTGGGAAAATTTATTCAAAAACAAGAAAAAAACCGAGAAAAACTAGATTTTGAAAGCGATGGTATTGTGGTCAAGGTAAATAACTACGCTTTTTATGAAAAATTGGGACAGACTAGTCGCTTTCCCCGTTGAGCCATAGCTTACAAATTTCCGGCTTCGGTGGCTTCTAGTTCCATCAGGGACATTTATACCGAAGTAAGTCGGAATGGAAGAATAACTTATGTAGCGGAAATAATCCCTGTAATATTACAAGGGAGCAAAATAAGCAAGACCACGCTTCATAACTATACTTTTATTCATAATTTAAAGTTAAATATCGGCGATGAAGTAGTAATCAAAAAGGCCGGGGATGTCATTCCTCAAATAGTCCAAGTAATTAAACTAAATAATAGTGATAGTTGACAACCCCCTATTCATTGTCCTTCTTGTAATTCAGTTCTAATTTGAAACCAAACCAACATTTACCAATTATGCCAAAATAATGACTGCCCGCAAAAGGTTGTCAATTACCTTACTCATTTTGCTTCCAAAAATGGTCTTGATATCAAGGGGGTCAGCCAAAAAATTATCCAAAAACTCTATGAGAATAACTTATTAAATCGACCTACTGATTTTTACCAACTTTATCAAAAAGAAAAAGAATTGCTAAAATTGGAGGGCTGCAAAAAAAAAAGTGTCAATAATATTCTAAATTCCATTGAAGAGTCAAAAAAAAAATCTTTCCCTTGCTTGTTAACAGCCTTAGGAATTCCTTTGTTTAGTTCAGTAAAATCCCAAAAATTAGCCAATTTTTATCCCACCTTAACAAGTCTTCTTGCGGCAATAGAAGATGAGGAATGAGAAAAATTTCAACAAATTTTAGGAGAAGAGACCCAAAAAGAATTGAAAAGTTATTTTCAAAAGCCAGAAAACCTGGAATTAGTAAAAGAATTAAACAAGATTTTTAGTGAGTAATTAAGGAACAATCCGCATTTAGAAGTATTGGGGAAATAATTTTTATCCAATAATTCAAGTCTTTCTCCCTTACCACTCTCGGCTTTCTCTAACTTTCTTATCAACTTGACCTGTCTTTGAGAACTATTAACATTTTTATTGTTTTTTAATTGCTTCAATTCAGTTTTCATAGTTATCGTTATTGTCTGCTTGCTGATTATCATTATTTTTGAAGTATCCTCAGAATTATTATTTTGTTGCCTTTATTTGCTACTTCCTCAATAGTTCTAAACATTTAGCTTTTAAAACTTTCTATCTCACTTGCCGAATTTAAACTAACTAACTTTTCGGCTCATAGACTATAAGGAGACCATAAGGAAGGATCTAAATCTGAACTAGACACTTTTTCTGATTTGAGTTTGTTAATTATTTCGTCACCAACATTGGCAAAATTAATGTTTTCTTTATGATTTGTTTCAGGAAAACTATCTCCTTTTCCACTTCTAATCTCGTCGTGTTCCTTATATAGTTTTATTTTTTTGATGAGGCAGTCTTTATTTTAAATTTTATGATCTCTCTATTCTTTTTTTTCTTCTCCAATCCCTAATTTTTTAATCGCCTTGGCAGCCGCCTGTTGCTCAGCCTCTTTTTTGCTCCGACCCTTTCCACTCTCTTGAAAAGTTTTTAGTTCATCACTGACTTCCATAATGAATAATTGCTGATGCTCGATCCTTATTACCTTTTTTAATCGGTAAACAATTTTGTTTCTACGAGCTTGACAATACTCCTGCAGTTGACTTTTATAATCTCAAACCATATTCTCTTTTCCTTTGATCCAAGTAAAAATGGTTAAGTTAAGGAACCGCTGAACCATTTTACCGCCCCTTTCTAAGTATAACGCCGCTACAAAAGACTCAAATACATCAGCCAATATGCTCTCTTTCTCAGCTCCTCGGTTATTTCTTTCCCCAGTTCCTAATTGGAGAAACTCCCCTAAACCAATTTCCCGACTCAAATGAGCCAGTGTGCTTTCTTGAACCATTAATTGTTTCAATTTACTCATTTGTCCTTCGGCATAATCGGGAAATTTATGATAAATAAAAAGGCTGGTATAAAAATTTAGCGCACTGTCCCCTAAAAATTCCAATGTTTCATAAGAGGAAAGTTTTGCATTATTTTCTGAGACCGATTCCAAATCAGTTTTCCCCCTTAGTTTTAACTCATTAAGGTAAGAAGTGTGAATAAAAGCCTGCTTAAAATTTTCAGTATCCTTAATGCTTTCAATTATTTTACTTATTTTTTTTAGTTGATAAACCATTAAATTTTTTAAGATTAATTTATATTTGCTTCGCTAGAATAAGGTGTTCCGACCTGTTTTAAATATGGGGTAAGAAGATAATAATTTCATTTACTTAAATGACAACTTGTCACATGAACCACTTCTTCCTGATCGCCTTTTCTTCGGTAAACTGTATAGTAAATAGGGGAAAACTTTTTCAATAACTTTAATCCTTTATTCCGATTTTCTTCGGTCGAGGAATGGAGACGAAGGAGGACAATTTGGTCGCGAGGGAAGATTTGACTAATCAAGAAGGAAGAGAGAAAAATATAAATCATAGTCGCTCATAGTCGCTCATTATTGGTAATATAACTTAAATATTTTGGAAAAATACTTCTTTGTTGTTCTTTTTCAAGTTCGCGAATTCTTACCACTAAATCATTCTTTCTCCGAAGTTTTTGGTCTAATTCTTCTCCTTCGACACTACTTATTTCTTTCTCAATTTTTCCCCTTTCCACTTCCAATTTAACTTTTCTTTCTTCATCCTTTGCTAGATAATAATCCACTTCTTGGGGATATTTTTCTAATTGTTGATATCCAACTTTGTTTTTTAGAAGAGAAGTAAGGGGACGATTTTTTTCCCTAATTTCAAAAATTTTTTTAATGTCTGGGTTCTCTTTTTTTTCCAGTTGATTAGCAGATTTAATCTCCTTTTCTCAGTCGCTTAGGATTTTCTCGGTTTCTTTTTCTTCTATTTTGAGCCCTCCTGCTT